GAATGTGCATTTGTAAGCTTGTTATACATGCACTCACACTAAGTCTGAAGTGACATGGCTTTGTATACTAAATATACAAACTGTATACACACAATATTCACAATCTTTCTGGTAGCAGTAGTGTCTTTTAGGTTGGATGAACAGGATTGCAGATGCATTTTTGTTGCTATATTTGTTCACCCTCACCCAAAGGAAAATGCATGTCACACTTCATTCACACCTTTATATATTATGTGCCATGCTGTATGGCTATGAGTATGATTGCTCTGTCCAGAACAGTACAATTTAACCTAGACATACATGTGCATGTAGATGCTTCTGTGAGTCATGCTTCCTGTAGTGCCTGTACAATTTTGTACAATAGAACACTGTGCACTTTTACTCTTGTTCTGTAGATGTAGATTTAGTTGCAGCTAGTAGTTTTTATTACCTTTGCCAATTATATAGAAGGTTATGTTTTCAGATAGTTTTGGAGTCAATGAGGTTCTTGAGGGTTGTATTTGGGTGGCCGACTCTCCTTTTGGCATCAGGAGACCAGAGCAGGAGCCTTCCTGTAGGTTCTCTGCTACAAGCCACATGTACATGCCCCACAGGACACGGTGTTGTTTGACTACTGCTGACATTCTGTAATACTACATGTAGTTTTTTGTTTGAGAAATGTTTCTGTGCTGGTAAACAAACTGTAGCATCTTTGTATAACTCCTTCCAAGTTTTCTAGATCATGTTGTGTTCAAGACCCACAATTCAGATCCATACAGAATAGACTCAATACATACAAGAACACTTTTGTCTTAAGTTTGTTTTCTAATGGGTGATTTCCATACTTTATGAAGTGAGCTCCACGCCTGGGCAATTCTAACATCCATGAAATAAAAAATTGGTTTATGCCTAAATGCCATAAAGACCAAATACATCCATATGGTCACACAGACTTAATTTTATGGATGACATCCGCGCGAGAAAAAAGATCATGTCCTCCGAGGCTCTGACCTGGCTTTAGTCCTGAGTAGTCCATGGTAGTGACAATATGGAGCCTGTGGTACATGTAACTCTGGAGGATGGCACCCAGGCTACAGAAGCTCCACGACTCAATCATGAGTACATATGCACGGTGCTGATTCATAAATGCCGCAGAAAGCCTGCATGTGTCGGCTTGTCGTATACGTTGCTAAGTACTGACTCAAATTAACAATACCATCTTTGTATTCCTATGGGTTAGTAGCATTTTTATTTTTGGCCGGAATTTTTTTTATTTGCCCACACGCACTAGTTTGGGGGTCTTCAGACGATGTCATCCATAAAATTAAGTCAGTGTGGCCTAATTTGATAGTCTTCTTACCACCTCAGATGATACTGTAATTGAGCAGAGTATCTTAGTAGGATGGCTTGGTGAGGACACAGATACTATTATAATAGTGACCACAGACCAACAGTTATATAATATACAATTCTCTGCTGGCACACCATTCTAGTGTTATTGTTGTTTGAAAAGATGGTCATATTGTTTGGGACTAATTGTGTCGACATGATTCCCTAAACATAAATTTTAATGTGCTTTTGATAATTTTCCTGAAACCAGTGCAGATCTTATACAGTACATTCAATTTGGTGGAACCTGGATGAGATTTCTTGTCTGCCATAGAATGCTTCTTTCCCTTCCAACTCTCTTTTAGGCCACACCAAGTTAATTTGTTGGTTCTCGGATTTTTTCAGAAAAAATATGAAGCGACAGGGCGAAAAAAAATAAAAACATGTCTAGGCATCCTATTATAGGCTTAAATGCTACAAAATGAGCCATGAAGTCAACACAAAAGGCTGGGTTAAAATTTAAACATTGAATGTTGAACTTTTAATGAAACCACTGCAATGATAGATGGGAAAACTGTAACAACTAGGAAGAAAAGGGCTTTCCTCAACTGTTGGGGGGCAAAACATGAGCATTTTTCAGTTGATTCAGGACCAGAATCAAATTTTTTTTTTTTTTGCAAATCAGAAAAAAACGAAGAGGCGAATCCGAGAACCAACAAATTAAATTGGTGTGGCTTTATTTCCTTAAAAAGTCAGAGAACCAATAAATCTGCTTTTAATTTAAACTACAGTCTAATCCTGGTATTGACCATGAGTAAGACTAGAGTTCCCAAACTCATGTCACTTCTTCCCCAGCACAAGAGCTTATTAACCTACCATCCACACACACACACACACACACACGAACGCCTCTGAAAACATAACCTTCTTGGCGAAAGTAACTACTGGCTGCAACTAAATCTACTTCTACAGGGGGGATACGGTCCCTGTCCAGGTGTACCAGACAACACTTGAGAAGAGACGAGTGATCCCCTGCACTGTTTATCCATGGCATGACTGAATCAGAATGCACAGCAGATTTGCCCAGCACATGACAACAGGAACATGGCCGAAACCTTAGAAACTCAGACAGAATGACTTGCTTCACCACTTGTTATGAAAATAACCCAGTACCATCGCTTAAGACTGTTAAACAAGGATAAATGACATGTTGCAAATCAACTCCTGAAATAATGTTGTGTTAGTTTGTATATATTTATTGTTACATAATATTAGATTTCAGATCTGTGGAATTGGGTTGACCTTATTTTATACTGATAAAGCAAAATGTGGTTCAGCCAGAAGGCTGCAAAGCTTACATTTATTTATTTTTTAAGTTTTACCACGTACAATATGCACTGTGGATGGCATGGCGAAACAGGTGTTTCTGACATGAAACACCTTTTCAAAGCCGCCATACATTAATAAATTATTCATCCATCCATCCATTCAACAAGCTGGAGAACTAGAGATGTTTCCATTTTATTGTACTGTGATGCAGGCATTGCAAAAAAATGTGACTTGATGTATCTCCTTGTCCCAGAGTCATACATGTATGAATACATGTAATGCTATGCTAATGTTGCAGACATTCGATTCAAGCAAATTTTGTTACTATAACAGAACAAAAAAGAATGTCAATGAATGTCAAATAATGTCAATGGAAGTCTAAACATTCAGGAACATAATACTTAAAATAATTTATATAAACTCAATTAAGTCTCTTCATTAGCACTTTTTCATCAGTGAATTGTGGAGGAGTACCAGTGACAAGTACTAGTGCAGTCAAACCTGCCAAAGTGACCACCTCTTCAAGCTGGTCACGGTGACCACTTTTCCCCATTGACGCAACCTGTACAAAACATCTCGACTTGGAAACCATTTATGCCTCAGTTATGTTGTGAGGCGACCCTCTTCAAGGAGACCACCTGTCCAAGGTGACCACTTTTCTTTGGTACCATAGGTGGCCGGCTTGGACAGGTTTGACTGTATGTTATCACCATCAACATGCCTCCAGGTCAATCCAGTGAGGTACGAAATGTACATTTGATAAAGTCACTCCAGTACGTGACATGAGAGCAGTCCCGGCAAAATTTTAGACTATTAGGCCACAGCAAGTAAATTTTATGGATGACATCCTCCACAGACTCCAAATATAATGCAAGCGGGTGAAAAAAAACAGGGCGGGCTGAAAAAAAACAAGGTTCCTACATTTTAAAATTTTGACTCAATCATTCTACACATGGTTTTGATGGAACATCATATAAACACAGCCTGCATCACATATCACTGCATCAAAGTAAGAAACAAAACATTAAATCAGAGCCTTTTCTTGTCTCCTCCCATTATAGTTATCTGCCATCCACCTTCCGGCATGGCAACAGACATCTTTGCCCATTTCCGGTATGGTGACCACTGTCAGAAGGCAACAAAATTTCTTGTTTTTTTTCCCAAAATCAGGCAAAAATTAATGCGCACGCTGATGTCATCCATAAAAATTACTTGCTGTGGCCTTACATACAATTCCACTAGTCTTCAGACTCATCCTCAGTTCACTGATGAAAGACAGAAAGGTATCTGAGAAACTGGATAAACTGAGGGAATAGAATGCACTACTACCAGCTTTGGTGAACACGATAATATGTCATGCTGTATACATGTACATGTACAGGTTACTAATTTAATTAAAAGAACAAAGTTTTTTCGATGAAAAGTTTCTGGCTTTCAGATATTTGATCCTGGAGCAGTTTGAACACCTCTCACGTTTGAAAAAAAACTGAAGAATGAAGTCAGACATTTTAGAAATCCAATCTCCTACTTCTGGTCATGATGCTAAGAGTGTCAATTGTGATCATACAGTTAGGCCACACCAATTTAATTTGTTGTTTCTCGGATCGCCCTGTCCATTTTTTTCTGATTTGCAAAAAAAAAAACATTTGTTCTAAATCAACTGCAAAATGCTCAATGAAAGACATATTTTGGCCCCAATGGTTGAAGAAAGTCCTTTTCTTCCTAGTTGTTAAAGTTTTTCAAATTGTAACAGTGCAATTTTGTTCCATTAAAAGTTCAAAATCTATTGTTTTAATTATAAACCAGCCGGGTATGTTCACTTCATGGCTCATATTGTAACATTTCTGGCTATCATGGGGTGCCTTGGCCTGGGTTTTTTTTCGCCCTGTCGTTCCATCTTTTTCTGAGAAAATTTGAGAAACAACAAATTAAATTGGTGTGGCCTTAGTAATAAGAAATGAATGCAAATCAAGTTGATCCTGTGCAATCATACCTTAGTGTGAGAGAATCAGGTATACAGGGTTTGAAATACTAAGTGAAAAGTTAGGATACCCATCAAAATTTCAGGTTGCCATCAACACCGGCTGTTTATTTTAGAAAAGGCAAGCCATAAGCCAGGCCACCTGTAAAGGCATCTCTCACACACTGGCCAAGGTTTATTTCAGAAGCAGTAAGCTGGGCAGCTGTAAACTTTAAAAAGATCACTTTGTATGTAAAAAAAAAGTAATAATAAAATAATAACTTGCATGCCAGGCATCTTCAATACCAGTAAATGTCGCACAGAAAATATGTCTTGTATGGCAAGAGTGGCAAGAGTGTGAGAGTGGATTTTGAACCCTGGTGTACCATAATACTAGTAAGTAATCCAACTTCTGCTACTCTACGAGAACATTTTATTTCTCCATCTGGTGAAAAACTGATGTTGGGAAGACTTCCAGGAATGCTGGAGTCCCCAGGAGATGACATCATGGCCCACTGCCGCCATCAAGTCCCTGTGATGAGGCCAGTGGCAGCACAGGTACACCAGTGTCATGGCCAGCTCAACAGGCTCAGGGAACGGCAGGGTCTGCAACACAGACAGGACAGGAGTGGTTCAACACTTCTTCATGTACAGCACATAAAGGCATCCAATTCAACATCAAGGAGGCAAAACAAAACTAGAGAAGTAACATTTGCAAAGCAAATACATAATGTTTACATTCGGACATGGTCTGCTCTGTTAATTGTTACTCAAACACATCCAGATACATGTACTACAGTAACTAGTATATGGTGACAGGAGCAGAGCAGACCATGAAATTGCAACATTATGTAACCCAACACCAGTCACCATGGTGACAGACGTCAACAAATCATGTCATTGGTCAGGTCAGAGGTTAGTGTTTGGAACAGAAGAGGAGGAAGAAACTGAGTAAAAACAATGTTTTCCTTCGGTAAACATAAAAAATATTCTGTATGAAGGAATTTGTCTGATACATGTAATAGGATTATGTATTACACACATTCTTATTTTTTTTTTGTACGTCTTGTGCATACAGCTGAGCACTTACCCTGTACCCCTGTGGTATGGCAGACAGCTGTTCTTGAACCTGTGACAGTTGTGCACCCAGGAGAACATCCTGACACTCCAACTGCTGTACACCTGATCCAGCCATCATCTGGGAGTTATCATCTAGTGTGCAGCGCCCCCTGTTGATCAACTCTTCACCTGCAGCTTTGTCTTTCTGGCTACCGGTAGTATCTGTTTGCAGAGGTCCTCCTGACATCTTTACAACATCTTCATCCACTTTACCATTATTGTTGCCTGCTGCAATCATTTCAGGGTGATCATGGCACAAGACAACTCTTCTTTCAATCATGCTGTTACTTAGTACTGACTCGCTCTTCCTCTCTGTTTCATACTGAGGAACATCTGTCTCTACTGTACTGCAGGTGTTGTTCCCATCTGTCTGTACTGTACTGCAGGTGTTGTTAGCATCTGTCTGTACTATGTTCAACAATCTGGATTGTCTGTGATGTGCAGCTGCTGTATGAAGGGCATGTTCCAGCTGTCCCAGCTGTTCCTCCAGGGCATATTTCCGAGCTATGTCAGGTATGAGAACAGCAGCTGATATTGCCTGCAGCTGTTGTATCAACACAGAGACCCTCTGGTCGGGGACAGCAGACTTGCTGTTCTCCTGTAAGCCCTCCTCCTGCTGTGGCAGTGTAGAGACAGCAGCTGTTGTGGTGCTGGACCCATCAGTACTGCCTGACTGTGGATGGACTGTAGCACCATCTCCATTGTGATCTATTGAAACAGCATTGTGAGGTCCACTCCACCACAGGTCATACAGAGTAGCCACATGGTAAAATGCTGACAGACAACTCAAGACATTTTTAGGAGTTGTAGAGTTGTCCTGTAACTTGACTTCTGACTTCAAACACTCTTGTGCTGTAGACATCTGCTCCAGTTTTCTGAGGGAAACAAGGCCTGGAAAAATACATATGAAGACATTTCAGTTAGTCAAATTATTCACTTTCCACGTCCATCACTCTCTCTCTCTCTCTCTCTCTCTCTCTCTCTCTCTCTCTCTCTCTCACTCACTCACTCACTCACTCACTCACTCACTCACTCACTCACTCACTCACTCACTCACTCACTCACTCACTCACTCACTCACTCACTCACTCACTCACTCACTCACTCACTGGATCCTGACTGCAGTACAATCTTATCAAAAATAAAATGGTGCCACAAATGTAGCTGGGTCATTTTGGGTCAATGGGATACTGAATCTACAGTTAACTGTCAGTGAGTAAGTTTGCCTGTAAATGCAATTATATTTCTTTCCTATTCCTTTCATCAACCTATTCCTCAACCTGCAGTGTAGGCATTGACTTCACAACATGTTAACAACCAAGAATCGGGTACAAATTGGAGGAAATGGAACTTAATATTACGAAAAATGAAAGAAGATGGTGAATAGCATAAAATAATACAAGAAAATGGACTATTTTGAAGTACAGAAGTGGGCCTTCAGAAGTTGGGAGGGTTGCTGTAAGCATGATTTCATCAGGCTAGGTTGCCCACCATTATTTTAGGTTGTCCCAGGCTCAATGGCATAATTCATAGAATTCTGTATTATATTGATTGTAATTCTACATTGTACTTATAGTAACTAAACTTAATTCACAGATGTGCCACCTTGATAAAAATGAGAGAGACAAGAGGTTTCTGACAATTTTCAGTCTTACACTGCCAAAGAGAACAAGGCTGGCAATGAAAACTTTTGCCATGGCAACAAATGAATGTTTATTACTCCGTGAAGGAGGTCAGGACCTCCGAGACGGAGTGTTGTGAACGGCTGGTTTTTCGTGTTCGCAGTCAAAACACTGGGTTCTCTTTGTGTAATCGGCACGCAATTTTATACGCCGTCTGCGGGCATGCCCGTGTTGATGCACGAATGTGTATTTTTGCCGTTGCTGCTTTCGCGGTCAATGTAATATCGCAGACGCACCCCTACAATTACGAGGCGAATTGGAATGGTCCAGAAAAACGCGTTGTTTGGAATAGCAGTGGGGGGGTAAAAGTTCATGCAGATACGGGGTGGTTTTTATAAGTGGTTCTAGATGTTTTTGCCCATGGTTAAGAGATGCCAAGTTTTTTTGGAAGATGTTCGCAGCCAAAACGCATTCTTCCGTACGTCGCATTTCTGTGTAATTTCGCATGTGGTGTTGCATTATGTCCGGGATGATGCACGTCTTTTTATTTTTACCGTAGCTGTTTTGATATTGGAGTAAATGCTTATTTTCGAAACATCCCCATTTCTTTGAAATGGTTTCGTCCGTTTATGCAACTGTTACTGCGCTAATGACGACCAGTCGCGCTGTCCTGATACACCGCGAATGTG